TTGCGTTACTCTCTAAAAAGCAACTAATTGCATTGCTTAGTTGCTTTTTATGGAAAGTAATGCATTACGTTACTTCTGCGTTACTCTGGGCTGGGCTTGCTTGTTTGCTTTTAATTTTAAAAAAGTTCTATTTTGGGCAAATGTAAAAGCCCTTTCTCACCAAAAGTGAAACGAATGAGCGTCAGGCTGAAGGAGTTAAATATATAAAGGATATTTGTGTTATTTAACATATTTAATTATTGCAGGTTTGTGTCATATTCTGACTGTTTTTATTCATTTTGAGGAATACTGAATCTGTTTTTGTGCGAGTGAGACGAGTAAATGCATGCTGACACTTCATGTACAATAAAAAGTAATTTTACTAGTTACTTGAAAAAAGTAATCTGATTACATATACTTGTAATGCGTTACCCACAACACTTTATTTAAAGGTTACAAAAAACTTAGTTTCACCCAAAATGTAACATTATTTGAATGTTTATTTGTAATGTCGTAAGAACGTTAAAATGTCCAGTTTTCTTGTCGTGATTAGAACGTCATTTAAAGGTTACAAAAACGTTTCTTGGAACGTTCATCAAGTACAAATAACATCATAAGGACATTTTGAGACTGCTGATCTCAGAGCGTTTCCTTTCGGCGCTATGAGAATGTATATCAAATATTAATAAAGTTATGAGAACGTTCCATTAAGAGTGTTTTTTTCCTAACATTTATTTAACTTTTAAAAAACGTTAAATAAATAAAGTTGTGAGAATGTTCCTTGTTAGCCGGGTTCACAGGGAAATATAAGTATTAATGTCGCATAATTCATCAATTATGAAATAAATTCAATTTCAGCTGTAAAGCAGCTCTACAGAAGACAATAGAGTTATTATTTAGATCAAGTTTTGTTAAGAACAAACATCCTTCCAGTAACGTTCATTCAGACTGATCTTTTCTTTAATAATGTTCTCAAAACGTAAGCACTCAAACATTTTCTGAAGCACTTTAGTTGTACGTTTGTCTAACAGTTTTTAAATGTTAATATCTAATAGCTTCAGACAGTTCAGAGAACATTCAAAAGGAACGATAATGCTTGCAAAATGATCAAATGCAACAATGCCTCAACATTTCTCTAATGTTCACATTACCAAGAAAAACTGTTTTTTAAACATTTTAAAAACTCAATGTTTTGAACATTCAGAGAACATTTAGAAATAATGCTTTTATAACCTACACACAATGTTAGCAAGAACATATTTTCGTCACTGCAACAGTATACTTTTTTAAAAAGTAAACCTTTGTCCCTTATTTACCCCTAAAGGGTTTATATAAGTTCCTTTAAGGTACATATTAGAACATATTAGGACCTATATGGTACATATTTGTACCTTTTGAAAAGACACCGCCCCAGTGACAGCTTTTGTACCTTTTTTCTGAGAGTATAGTGACTGTGAATGCATCCAAATCAATGATATTACTGAATATTAAGTGTGTGTATGAGGCATTAACTAACAGACAGTTAATGCCTCATACAGTCGCCAGTAAAAATCAGATCTCATTCAATTGTTCAAATCAAATCTGTTTTCTAGTCATTAAACAAAGTTGATCTGAATCTATTGTCTAGTCTGTCAAGCTTTTTTTGTAAGACACTTGAAGAGGGTAAAAATGAACTAATATCACCATACTTCCCAATTTGATTAATAATTGCAAAAACATTTTTATTACAAGTTTTCTGAAATGTTATGTTTAAATATGCAAAATAAACATGCACTAATTTGCACACATAAATCTGAACATTGCATGAAATCAAGTTTAAAATTCTTTGATTTTGTTGACATTTTAGAGTTAAAGATTTTTCCAGAGGGGATTTTAGATTTCTATTTTTATCACTCCATAAATCAGAAAATACGGTCAACACAGACAGAAAACAAACACATTTTCACCATGTTTTTAGGTTTTAAATGTTGTCTAAATCAGTGTGAATGAAATATGAACAAACCTTCAGAATAGAGAGAGAGGCATAAAACTGTAAAGTTTGGTGTTTGTAAGAGACAAAACTCTTTAAAGATTGAAATCTACAGACGCAAACAGATAAAGTGCAATAAAATAAACACTTAAATGTGTGTTTTGGATGTTTTCTTTCCTCTAGTCTGAAGAAAGAAGCAAAATAGCACACAACTGAGCAGTGCATGAAAAAAAAAACAGTGGTTTTGTCTGTAGTGTTTTATATTAAAGCCTCAAAATCAGTGATTATGTGATCTCTCTCCTCATTTACATTCAAAACAGCAGCTACATAAAAACAGCAGGAGGACTGCAGTCTGAAATATGTGACCCTGCAGCACAAAAGCAGTGTTAAGTCGCTGGGGTATATTTGTAGCAATAACCAACAATACATTGTATGGGTCAAAATTATAGATTTTTCTTTTATACCAAAAATCATTAGGATATTAAGTAAAGATCATGTTCCATGAAGATATTTTGTAAGTTTCCTACCGTAAATATATCAAAACTTAATATTTGATTAGTAATATGCATTGCTAAGAACTTCATTTGAACAACTTTAAAGATGATTTTCTCAATATTTAGATTTTTTTGCACCCTCAGATTCCAGATTTTCAAATATTGTTCTATCCTAACAAACCATACATCAATGGAAAGCTTATTTATTCAGCTTTCAGATGATGTATACATCTCAATTTTGAAAAATTGACCCTTATGACTGCACTGTAAAAAAAAAATTCCATAAAATTTACAAAATGTGGTTTCCGGAATTTTACCGTAAAAAATACGGTAGCAACATTTTAGGTTTTACAGTTTTAACTTAAATTTACAGTTAAATACCGTAATTTCATTAACTGATATAATGTTAATAAACGGTATACTACCGTAAAATTTATGTCCAATACATGTAATGTCCAATACAGTTTTTCACCGTATATAGCAGGGGAATTTACCGTATACCATTTAACAGGTTTTTACTGTAGCATTTTTACAGTCTTTTACCGTTAAATTCACGGTCATTTTTTACAGTGTGGTTTTGTGCTCCAGGGTCACAGATGTCTTAAGAATCTTTATTTTGCAGCAGGGAAATGCAAACCGTTTAGACCGAACCCAGATGCATCAGTGAGTGTGATGTGACTCTTTCTCTGCTCAGTATTGTCAGGCTCCAGCGTGTCACTGGTGCTGTCTGTGATGAGATTTGTCTTTGAGGTGGTTTGGTCTGTCTGATGGCGTTTAACAGCAGTCAGACGCTCTCTGATGTTTCTGCCTCGATCAGCTTCAGTCTCGTGTGGGAAATTCAACAGACATTCAGTGACAGACCTGCGGTGCGTCTGAGCTGCTGTTGCACAATCATTTGTGCTCCAGGGTCACAGATGTCTTAAGAATCTTTATTTTGCAGCAGGGAAATGCAAACCGTTTAGACCGAACCCAGATGCATCAGTGAGTGTGATGTGACTCTTTCTCTGCTCAGTATTGTCAGGCTCCAGCGTGTCACTGGTGCTGTCTGTGATGAGATTTGTCTTTGAGGTGGTTTGGTCTGTCTGATGGCGTTTAACAGCAGTCAGACGCTCTCTGATGTTTCTGCCTCAATCAGCTTCAGTCTCGTGTGGGAAATTCAACAGACATCCAGTGACAGACCCGCGGTGCGTCTGAGCTGCTGTTGCACAATCACGACAGGTGGCACAGGTGTGAACTCCAATGCACGCTCAACGACTGCTCTGCACATGCAGCATTACTTCATTTCACTTGTGTTTATTTATCAAGGTCCTTTCCTTAAAACTGATGGGAATACAGGTGAGATGCAGATGATAAAATACCACAAAGCAGCTTCTGCAGCAAGATGCATTTAAATTTGTGCTCATAAAGTGACCATTAGAATGTTTCAAACCATTTAACTGTGATCTGAAATATCTGCTGTAATCCATATTTATTGCCCTTACTGAAAACATCCGGATTTATTCTAATTTAATTTTGCGTTTCTTTGGCCGCAGCATTAGCAGATTTATATTAATTAATATATATATATATATATATATATTTGTTTTTTTTACTAATACTTACAT